GAAACCGTGACCTCTTGGTCATATGAGGCCAAGGCTCCCCTTCTCCCGCTATACGCAGGGTCCGGGAAGGGCCGGACCACAAGGGTCTATTGTACGCAATCTTACCCTATATTTCTACAAGAGGCTATTTTTACGGCTCTAACTTGTGATCTCCTGATCCGAACACCACCACTATCAAAATTGTACGGAAAAAATGAAAATTCATGTGTTACTGACTGACCTGAGTTCAGAATTTACAGAATCTGCAGCATTTGCCTTGTCAGAGTTTAGTTGTACATACTTTTGATGCACCTATAAACAAAATTCAAAGAAAGCAAACATTGGAATTCAAATAACACAAGGGAATCAATTCATATGAAAGGATTTGGCTTCATCCAACTCATATAAATCAACAAAAAAACTAAATTTTGCATAGTATCAAAATCAACACTAGTATAAACCTTCATTTCTAACTAATTCATCAGACCTATAACCATTTAAATTAAACTTGAAAAACGTGTCATATGAAACAAACAGAAGTCAAAATTGACACAAAATTAATTTAACAAACAGTGGTATAACTTACTTGGAACTTATTACAAGGTTTTATACGCTTTTGTTTCTTGGTCGTAAAACCAAAACAGCCAAGAAAACATCCCATTTCTTTTTTAGATCTCTGCTTTCTTAATTTTCCCAAAACCCCTGCAGAGAAAATGGAGGAAGATTTTGTCTTGTATATTTGCAGTGTGTTTATATGAAAGTTTGTTGGTTGGTGGGGTGGGGTGAGGTGGGAGGGGTAGGGGAGAATGTGGCTTTCTTTGGTAATGGAGGATTTAAATATGTTGCCTCCAACGCTATTTGAAAAATAGGAACGTTAAGAAAAAGGGATAGAAATAATAATGAAGTAGGGTAGTGGTAAAAGACAAAGGTTCAAAGCCAGTTTGCCAGCTTTTTTTATGATTTTCTGTAATATTGAGATTGGCATTCTATTTTTTTTTAATAAAGTTTTAATTACCCTGTCAATTTCTTTTTAAGAAACTTTTGATATTTGACAAGAGGTACAGAAAGATTTTAGAAAAGTTAATGTACGGACTTGAAAATACTTACATAAATGTTAAAAGAATTTAATTGTACTTTTATAACTACTCTTATCTAATACTATATAACTAGTGAATTGGTCCGCGCTTCGCACAGTTATAATAAATTTACGAATGATGTTTTGAGAATTTAATTAATTGAGATAGAATAAATAAAAGTTTTATTTAAAAGCATATGAATATTAATTCTATAAGTTTATTACCACAAATATAATATTTTATCATTGAAGACAGCTTGATCAACTCGATGCGATTGTAATCTCTTCAAACGCCTCTGTTAAAAGTTGTTGATACACTGCTTAAATAAGTTTTAGCATTTGAAGTTTATTTAACGTAAATTATAAAAAACGGTCGAAAAGGTAACCCACACTTTTGGAATGACAACCAAATTGCTACTTTGGAGGTTTAGCAATTTTAACCAAGCATAGATCTATGCAGTAAGGATACATTGGTGAGAGAATTTGTTCCAAAACATTATATTGAGGGAAAAAAGGTAATGAAACCCCCTAGCCTTCCTTCACTATTTAAATAGTATTCATTATTAATATTTATTAGTAATTGTATTTAGAGACTTTGGGGCTTACCTACATCCTCCCGCCAAATTCCCTTCCTTATCATGAAATGAAATGGTGTTCATAATAATAGTTCACTATTGTAATATTTCTTTAATATTTATTAATTAATTCATAATTGGATTTTGATACTTTTGAATATTAAAAAAATTATAACGTAATTTTCCTGCATTTTGTTCCGTTTAAATGTCATTCCTAACTAATATTTTGACAATTGTAATAGAAATAATTATATGTGATAAATTTACAGAGTATCGAGCTTTATTGATGAGGAAAAAAAAATAAAAATGAGAAAAGATGCATATGTTTTCTAGTCTAAAGATGTGCCCTATAATCGATCTCTTCAAATACCAAAATTATATATATGAAGATAGATAAAAATTAATTATTATATTTAGAGATTACTGAACTTTAACGAGGAGAAAAAACAACTAAATTTTTTTTCCAAAGTGATAATATATTTTTATATCTAGAAGGTGCCACGCCATCTCTTCTTCATGACTATTCCCCTTGATATAACATTGCTATAAAAGAGGAAAGAAAGGAAGTAGACAAAAAAAAAAAGTGAAAAA